TTACTGGTTAAGTCTGTTGGATATTTACAGAAATTCCCCTGGGTCATGTCAGTTATTTATTGTAAATGCGGATTAAATTATACAAGAGCTGTCACAGGAGACAGCGAAGCTCAACTAATTAAATACTGGACGCAGTAAGGAAGACAAAACTATGAAAGAAAAATCAATTAAGATATAAATATATTTCTTCTTATGGCAAGAAGTTATTGTTGTTAACATAAATTCCAAGTTCAAGGGGGAAACATTCTGGAAATAGTCACACTAGAGTTATGGACCTTGTCACACAACATGTGTGTAATGATAAGAAATATATATTTGAAGTTTAAAGTAGCTACCTTAAAAAGTAAAGAAGTTATATTTATTAAAGAAATTTCTAAGTTCAAAGGGAGATAAAATCTGAAAATATTGCTTCAAAAGTTATGAACCCTGTCACATCAGATCTGGTTGATGATAAGGAATATGTATTTAAAGTTTTAGGTAGATTCCTTTAAAACTAAAGAAGTCATAGTAAAAAATAACATTTTTCAAGTAAAAAAATCTAAGTTAACAAAGAGATAATTCTTGCAATATTGGTACTAGAGTTATGAACCTTGTCACATAAGTTGATCCCTTAAGAAATAAAGAAGTTGCAGTAAAAAATAATATTTTTTAAGAAAAATTCTAAGTTCAAGGGGAGATAAATCTAAAAATATTGATGCTAGAGTTATGAACCTTGTCACATAAGATGTGGTTGATGTAAGGAACATACATTTGAAGTTTGAAGTTGATACCTTAAGAAATAAAAAGTTATAGTGAAAAATATTTTACTGCACCAAAACTTTAATCTGAAATCTGGACACGAACGCCGGGGCGAGTAGGACAGCTCTCTATAAACTTCATATAGTTGAGCTAAAAATTGAAAGGTTTTATCATTGCAAAAAAATAGATAAGACTTATTTTGACTTTCACCTGTTCACTCATTACATACTCTTAGATGGGCATTATGTCACTTTAAAGTGAATATTTTAGTCGTTGTAAAGATGGGGTTTTAGGTACCAGGTAAAACTGTAACCAGTACATCACTAAGGGTTACAATGAAGGCAAAAATAATGCTAGAATTAATGGTGCAGGACAAAGGCCTACAATTAACATTTGAAATTATGCATGAAGTTAGGTCAATACTCCGAAAGGGACTCCACTGAGGTTTTTTGAAATGACGGGCCTGGAAATAATTTTTTTGCGATTTATGTTCCATTTGATAAAAGTGTACAACAAAAACTTGTGTGCAAAGTTTAAGATAATGTGCCTGCTTCGTTTTTCCAAAGAAATCATTCAAATTGTGAAAAATAACTGAAAAATTGAAAAGCATTGCAATGCTTTTCACTCATGCTAAGAATAGCGCAAAAGTAAAATAATCACTTTATTTCAGGCTATATTTCTTCATGATCTTTTTCAAACTGTTATGTTTTAAATGCCTCAGCTGATCTATGTAAGAAATTTATATTTTACATTTTAGGGTTTTAAACCTCAGTGGAGTTCCATTAATGTGATATGAATTTGTATACATAAAGAAAACTCAGTATTAAGTAAATAGGATAGTTTCACTATTCTCTGAACAGTTAAGCTAAAATCTCTAACCATATTATAGTGACCCTACCTTGTGCAGTAGTAACGTACTCCTAAATGTTTCTTTTTATGTACTCTGAAAGAGTTCATACTGCTGAATATCTGGCCACACACCTTACATACAATAACTGGCTTCTGCTTGTCAGCACCTTTCTTCTGATCACTAGATTCATTTCCTGCAATATAGAGAGAGGACATAATTCATTACCTATTTCACACAATTTCAAATGAAACCAACACCTACTATTTGTTATCAATGATTAAGGCTGAATGTCTCCAAATGAGTCAAAATATTTCATGAAAATCATATCAGAGACAAATGTATTAAGATTTTAAGAAGAGTCAAAAGATTCAAGTAATAAGTTACATGTTATATGTGATTTATGTCTGGTCTGCTAACATAATTGAGGCAACTTTTTAGCTTAACTAGCTGAAGTAAAATACAGGCTGTTTGGCTGAGATTTATTTAATACTTTCAACTCAACTGGCAACTAACAATGATATCAATAAGAATAGCTTTCACAGCGAAACATATAGAGGATATTTGTTTGTTTGTGTGTAAGATGAAATTTTATTTCATCGAGTGGGCTTTAAAAACAGTATTCTCACGAGTGGCGAAGCCACGAGTGAGAATACTGTTTTTAAAGTTCACGAGATGAAATAAAATTACATCTTACACAACAAACAGACAAATTTTCTTTTTATTTTATGCTTAAAAACAAGTTAAAACGAAATTTCCACAATTTTAACGTTAATATTAAAACTGTTTCCCCCATTGAGAGCCCCATTTATTCGGAATTTCTCATTAAAAAAAAGAAGAGCTGAAAAATAAGTCCGCCAATCAACATTAAATGACGGTGATATTTATTAATTTTATTAAAAAAATATGAATGATCGCTTGTTTTGATAATAAAAACAAACAATTCTTGTAGGAGAAAAAGTCCAACCATCCATCCATATTTCTGTTACTTAGTGCGAATTTATATTAGACCTGGCTTTGTAAATTGTAAGCGGCAGCCATTTTTTAAAGTTGTGTATTTCATGGGAGGAAAATAATTGTGTAAGATTCAGAGGGATATAATTTGGATTTGTTAGTCATACACATTTTTAAAAGAAAGAAAACTTATTTGAGGATTGTAACAGACAAAAAATAAGTGTTGACAGATGTGAAAACATTCAGAGAAGGAGCTAGGAAAATGGAAAACTTGGAAACCTGCTCAAGAACGCTGGGTTGATTTAACTTATTCTTCGAGTTATGGCTGTCAATGCTTTCAATTTTTCATAAAGCATACGGCAGTTATTGCTCGTAGGATACTTTAATATGCCCAAATGTCATCAAGAGCAGGAAAGAATGTATTTTTGAGACTGTCAAAATGAAACAAAAAAACGAAATTTGGTGATTGGAATTTCATGAATTTGAATGAATAGAAGTAAGTTTTCTTCTTTTTATTACTTTTGACATTTAAGTTATTAATCAATTTCAGTTTTGCTTATTCTTTAAACAGCCTGACATTGTCAGAATTGTCAGCAAAAATAAAATTGAGGTACCACATGGGGAAAATCTTAAAAAAGTAGTTTCGTCATTGAAAAGAGTGAAATTATATTTTGATAATTTTCACTGTGAAATTACCAAATATAATTTTCACGGATAAATCAGTAATCCACTGAAAAGCATAAAATAAATATTAATCCTAGAATTAGCATGTACTGTAACATATAAGAAAACACCGAGTCCACCAGAATAAGGATTGAACTCAAGCATACTGTGTTGAAAGGTAGACAAAATAACTATTATGTCAATGGTCTTTAGATTCATTCAATTCTAGCTATATGTAAGATTTATTTACATTTTTTATTATTTTTTCATGTAAATTAGAGTAGCCCACAGATAAACATACCTGTATTTTTATGTTTGTTGCAATGCCTGATTCCACAAACTTCACAATCATATTTCTTGGTATCTGTATGAATTTTTCCATGATTCTGTAAAATAAATAACATGGTTTATCCTTTAACCTTCTAAACTTCCATGTTTCATGCCTCTTTCCTGAAGCTGGAATAGTCCATTTAAGTTACAATGGGTTTTATTATCATAATCAAATTAAACAAGTGCTGTTGGTAGGACAGCATGCTTGACTGTTCTAAGCGCTTCATAGTAAAACAAGAGCCTGGATAATGTAGAATTGTCTATGTTCAAAAAAGGGCAATAAATCTGTCAAATCCATGTAAGAGTTAAAGGCCTATAACAGTGACCTCCTATTAAGCTCCCATATATAAGTGTGTGACGTTTCAACCCATTCCCTTCATTAGTTTTTAAGATAACAACTTGCACGCAAAAACTTAACCAAAGTGTAACACTGACATCGACGCCTGGGTGAGTACAATAGCTCTCCTTATTCTTTGTATAGTCAAGCTGAAAGAAATAAACTACCAACAGTACAAAGCCTGGCAAGACTGCATGAAAGTGCCCTGTACTTGTGACAGCACTGGTAATCATTTTTGGTTAGTGTAGAGGAGAAAGATGAATCATAAAAGATTAGATTGACAACACTGATCTCCTGCAGGTGCTAAGGCAAGTTTTTAACTTTTTATGCATCTGTAAACATCGCGAGTACAAGAAAATTAAACTAGAGAAAGCCAACCTGAACATGCATACACAAAATAATAATTATATTTTCAATCATTTGAACATGCATTAATACACAAAATAATAATTATATTTTCAATCATTTTGTACATTTTCATAGCAGAATAATTACTTATTTTCTAATCTCCTCATTTAATTATTCCAGACTCCACATTGTTTTACTTTGTGAACACCAGGACTTTAACATGGGTCTAGCTTCAAACACATACCTTCAACTGAGACTTGGTATCAAATTCTTTCCCGGAGATATTACACGCTTCATTCACTGTCTCTGTTACAAATGTTGGTCTATCTTCATCAATTTGTTTTTGCCTCTGCTTCTTACCTTAAAAATAAAATCAAGGTTTACAGATAAGATAAGTCAAACTATAATATAATTTATTTTGTTAAAAATGTGTTCGTCTTGATTATCAGCAATATAAAAAATTAGTGTCATGTATTGCCCAGCAAGTGTACGAATATTACACTAGCTTCCTGTACAGACATATTTAGCTTGATGGTTACTATTAATGGCAGTAGCGAGGGTCCGAGTTTCTGCTGAAGAGATACCCCAAGAGCTAGATATTTCCATCTGTGATAACAGCCAGTGTTTGATTCTTTTCTTGCATATTAATCATATTCAGGAAGATTATAAAAAAGTAATATTTTCATGGATCACTTCTTCTTTTAGTAGCTAGCAAAACCTGTCTTACGCCCCAACATGATGTCATTCCGTCATTCCTGTGCGTCTTGTTATGAATGAATTGCAGTGATAGGATTACGTTATTATCACTAATATATTAAATTCTTATACTTATTCATGTAAGTGTTGAATGCCTGTTTGTTTAACATAAATCAATACTTCTGGAATAACGAAGCAGTGTTTTTAGAAACAGATTTAAACATGAGTGAGCGATGTTGGTAACCAATGGCAACAATAAATAAACATACAAATATTTGTAGGGCCTACAAACCTTGACTGCAGTGTCTCCTAGAATGTTTTTTATATGAACCTTCTCCTGTTAAGATCACACCACAAACTTCGCATTTGTATTTTTTCCGTTCTTCATGGATTTCTCTGTGTCTCTGAATAACAATGCTTCCAATGTTCAAATCTTTCAATCATTAAATTTAGTGCATATCAAGATCATTATATTCTAATTAAATAACCTCAAAAGTAATTGAAAATAAACATGTATGAGAAATGCTGAAAGAAATACCTCCAGGTCAGCTACAAAAATTCGACAAAACAAATAAAGAAATACCTTAGTTACCTTAAACTTATACTTGGTTTTGAATCCCTTCCCGCAGACGTCACATTCAAAGTCATCTCTTGGTTTTCTAAAAGCTTCACCTTTATCACCATTCTTCTCCTCCTTAATCATTTCCTCCATGGCAGATGCTAAAAAATGCAGACAATTTTACAAAAGTATTATTTACATTACGAACCATTAAATTTTCTGATAATATTTATTTAATAATCTTGACTTTCATGTGAATATTTTGTTCATTAGAGTTACTTCGATATTAAGAATATTTTGGATCTTCCCAGGTAATCAATAAATTTGTGGGGTGCAAACAAACATAGAGTTGCACATATTAATTGCAAATATATATTGGAAAAAAAATAAGCATAGCATAATTACTCTATTGCAAACAGTAGTGCAACATGAAGCTAAAATGTTAAAAAAATTTGGATTTAACTCAATACAGTACTGGAGCAGTACCTCAAGACGCTTGCAGAAATCATGATTAACCCATTGTTTCATATACACGCCTTTTAACGCCTTTTTCACCCCCCCCCCTTTTTGTTGTCTCAAATGGTGAAAAAATGCCTTATTTAGGCCCCCAACACTTGTTTTTGTTTGAGAAATGTTGTTAAAAAAAGTGACCACTTTTTCGGCGCGGCCCCCCAACCAAAAGATACATCAGGGGGTTGCCAGAAGGGGGATGTGCCCCCTTCTGTTTGGGGGGTTTGAAGGGGGGCAGAGTCCCCCTCATCGCCAAGAAAATTTTGGACTTGTGAGAGGCTATAAATGACCTCAGATTGATCATAAGGTAACGTGTAACCAACGCTGAAAAGCATTTGACTCTATCTCAATCCATTGAGAAGTTGCAGCACTTTGAAATCAATTATGATGGAAAAAATCAACGCAAAATAGTGATTTTTGGCAATTTTGAGATGTCCCCTCGTTGCCATGGTAACAGAAAATTTAAGCCTGAGCATGTTGTTGCAAGGGCAATGGTCCAGTCAACATTTGTGCCAAGTTTGATTAGTGTTGAAGCAGTTTTTATAGTATTATAGCAATTTGAACTTGTAACGGGAGACTTTTCAATGAAAACAGCCATTTTTCACAAAATGCTGATGAAGTAATGGGTTAATGAAAAAAATAAAAAAATCTACAAAACAACAATTTTTCTTCAAATTTATATGACAGGCCATGTTTAAACATGAAAAAACGCGATTTAGGGTAATTTCAAGTATTTTCATAATTTTCTGTTAACCCATTGCTTCATATACACGCCTTTTAACGCCTTTTTCACCCCCCCCCCTTTTTGTTGTCTCAAATGGTGAAAAAATGCCTTATTTAGGCCCCCAACACTTGTTTTTGTTTGAGAAATGTTGTTAAAAAAAGTGACCACTTTTTCGGCGCGGCCCCCCAACCAAAAGATACATCAGGGGGTTGCCAGAAGGGGGATGTGCCCCCTTCAGTTTGGGGGGTTTGAAGGGGGGCAGAGTCCCCCTCATCGCCAAGAAAATTTTGGACTTGTGAGAGGCTATAAATGACCTCAGATTGATCATAAGGTAACGTGTAACCAACGCTGAAAAGCATTTGACTCTATCTCAATCCATTGAGAAGTTGCAGCACTTTGAAATCAATTATGATGGAAAAAATCAACGCAAAATAGTGATTTTTGGCAATTTTGAGATGTCCCCTCGTTGCCATGGTAACAGAAAATTTAAGCCTGAGCATGTTGTTTGCAAGGGCAATGGTCCAGTCAACATTTGTGCCAAGTTTGATTAGTGTTGAAGCAGTTTTTATAGTATTATAGCAATTTGAACTTGTAACGGGAGACTTTTCAATGAAAACAGCCATTTTTTCACAAAATGCTGATGAAGTAATGGGTTAATGAAAAAAATAAAAAAATCTACAAAACAACAATTTTTTCTTCAAATTTATATGACAGGCCATGTTTAAACATGAAAAAACGCGATTTAGGGTAATTTCAAGTATTTTCATAATTTTCTGTTAACCCATTGCTTCATATACACGCCTTTTAACGCCTTTTCACCCCCCCCCCCTTTTTGTTGTCTCAAATGGTGAAAAATGCCTTATTTAGGCCCCCAACACTTGTTTTTGTTTGAGAAATGTTGTTAAAAAAAGTGACCACTTTTTCGGCGCGGCCCCCCAACCAAAAGATACATCAGGGGGTTGCCAGAAGGGGGATGTGCCCCCTTCTGTTTGGGGGGTTTGAAGGGGGGCGGAGTCCCCCTCATCGCCAAGAAAATTTTGGACTTGTGAGAGGCTATAAATGACCTCAGATTGATCATAAGGTAACGTGTAACCAACGCTGAAAAGCATTTGACTCTATCTCAATCCATTGAGAAGTTGCAGCACTTTGAAATCAATTATGATGGAAAAAATCAACGCAAAATAGTGATTTTTGGCAATTTTGAGATGTCCCCTCGTTGCCATGGTAACAGAAAATTTAAGCCTGAGCATGTTGTTGCATGGGCAATGGTCCAGTCAACATTTGTGCCAAGTTTGATTAGTGTTGAAGCAGTTTTTATAGTATTATAGCAATTTGAACTTGTAACGGGAGACTTTTCAATGAAAACAGCCATTTTTCACAAAATGCTCATGAAGTAATGGGTTAATGAAAAAAATAAAAAAATCTACAAAACAACAATTTTTCTTCAAATTTATATGACAGGCCATGTTTAAACATGAAAAAACGCGATTTAGGGTAATTTCAAGTATTTTCATCATTTTCTGTTAACCCATTACTTCATATACACGCCTTTTAACGCCTTTTTCACCCCCCCCCCCCCTTTTTGTTGTCTCAAATGGTGAAAAAATGCCTTATTTAGGCCCCCAACACTTGTTTTTGTTTGAGAAATGTTGTTAAAAAAAGTGACCTCTTTTTCGGCGCGGCCCCCCAACCAAAAGATACATCAGGGGGTTGCCAGAAGGGGGATGTGCCCCCTTCTGTTTGGGGGGTTTGAAGGGGGGCAGAGTCCCCCTCATCGCCAAGAAAATTTTGGACTTGTGAGAGGCTATAAATGACCTCAGATTGATCATAAGGTAACGTGTAACCAACGCTGAAAAGCATTTGACTCTATCTCAATCCATTGAAGAAGTTGCAGCACTTTGAAATCAATTATGATGGAAAAAATCAACGCAAAATAGTGATTTTTGGCAATTTTGAGATGTCCCCTCGTTGCCATGGTAACAGAAAATTTAAGCCTGAGCATGTTGTTGCAAGGGCAATGGTCCAGTCAACATTTGTGCCAAGTTTGATTAGTGTTGAAGCAGTTTTTATAGTATTATAGCAATTTGAACTTGTAACGGGAGACTTTTCAATGAAAACAGCCATTTTTCACAAAATGCTCATGAAGTAATGGGTTAATAAATGGAAAAATATCATTTTTTTCGCCGATTCTTACATTTTTCATTCATTATTATACATAAATCGGTCTGAAATGATGAATAAGCCCTTTTAAAGTTCATTCCATTGGTTGAAAAGGCAAGATATTAGCATTAAATCATTTAAGCGCCCTGTCCGGTATATACCGTAATACGGTATTAAGTGTGGTGCTCCAATCCTCTTTTAAGTCTCACTCAAAATTTTGTATGTACTTGGGGGATGATGTTACAACTGATTTTTGACAGGTGCAGAGCTAACACGAATCCAGTCTGGAACATAGTTCATATTATGTCCCAGGTACAGAATAAGGCAGGTATGTCACTTACTTAGTAACTATGTAAGCATTATCAGTATACATGTAGGCTACTTTGGCTTTTATAAACCTTGAATCCTGGTGTCAATTGGCCGTAGGGGAATTCTTAGTTATGCATCGAGTCAGAGATTTTGTGCTACTTTGTTTGTACGAAATACCTCTCCTCTCCAGGAAGGTACACTTTTTTTAAGTTCTTAGAACCTTATAAACATTTTTCATAATTGTATTACAGAAAGAAATTTAAGATTATCATTCTCATCTTGAAAATAAATAGCTAAAGATACTTCAGCGAACAGGTTTTATAGTATTGCTAGACCTGTTCGCTGAAGCCAACCCCGTATCGAAAGTCAACCAGAACCGTGACATTTTTATGTCATGCTGTAATTCAATAAATTTGCGTGATCTGGACAAAAACTATTTCAATACAGGTAGTTAGATATATTTGGGACCCTTCAGTCTATATTTTTGAACACAGAATGTTAGATTGATGAAATATTGCCTCAAAGTTTATCAGCGGGTTCACATTTCATAAAATTCGCCGCCATTGCTGCCCTAATTATCACGTGATCAGCGAGAATTTAGGTTCGGATACCTTTGCATGACATTTGTTGACACGTGACCCAAATGCTATTTATAATTGAAAACATGGCTTTGCAATTATGAATAACAGTGTATTTATTCAATAACAGACATTGTACCAAAAACATGTTGAATTTATATTGTTTTGAGTGATGATTCATGAATTATTTGTCCGTTTTTATATAATATCATACTCTTACTAAAAATAGTGTATGGTCCGTTACTAAAAATAGATGCTAGAATTTCCAAAACATGAAGTACCGCGAGATCTCATTTGAAAGCAGACTCCATATTGGTAAACATCCTCTACACATTTCTCTAAAAAATAGTTGGGTACACAATGTCATTGAAGTTTAATTAAAAACAAAACATGAATTGGTTCAAAATTGATTTGTTTATCAAATGGTATTTTTATTTGACCCAAATTTGATTAATAAGGGTTATTTTAGTAGGTTTTTATGTACCGCGCACGAACTCTCAAATTCTGGTAGCCTTTGCTAATAGGGTTGACCCATAACTTTACTGTCGCAACGTCAAAAAAAAAGCGACATATAAAGTTATGGAAGCCAGAACTAGAAAATAAACAGACCTACAAGATGTTCAAATGTTTAATTTAGCTATCAATGTTCAACGTTATTTAAAATCAAATATTCGAGACTAAAAAATTCAAAAGAAGATACATACTCAGTACCTCTTTATCATAAATATTTGCAGCTATTCTCGTCTTGTCTATGCTTTTACTACGTTTCCAATCTAATAGATAGAGCTGATCAAATATTTAACAAGCAAGCTAGTTCTATTTTTCATACTTTCCTTATTTTTGATTTGATTTAAGAACTTCCTTTTACAAAGCAATACCAATGTTTCTAACCTCGTGATACATAATAATAAGTAACTGCTAAGATAATATTATAAAGTCGATAAAAACAGTAATTTCAAATCAACCGGAAATATACGAAAACATGGCGAAGTTGATAAAAGGGGAGTAACTATGCTTGGATTTGTTTATTATCAGTTTCCCCGTTTTTCATTTTAATAATCGACACATAATTATATAATCTACATAAATACGGTGTTCTTTATTAATATATGACTTTTTTAAAAAAAAAATAAGTTTTATACTTTTTTCGTACTAGATCTACATGATGCCAAAAAAAAAAAAAAAAAAAAAAAAATGCAATTTAATAGTCAATTAATAGTCCAAGGGGAATAACTGCTACATGTAATTCAACGAAAATAATATAGCAGTTTCTTCCCTTTATGCTTTCCAATAACGGCCTCACCAAATTTGTCATTAAAATTATTATGTTCATCATTACATATTCTTGTTTAGTTAGGATTATCTGCACTGATGAATAATAACTCTAGATAATGCACATAAATTCCATTAGGTCAAATATAGCATAGTGAAATATTCAAATTTGGTGGGACAGACTATAGTTTGAGCCACACTATTTTCTTTTCATTGAATGGAATAAATATATACAATGTACAGTCAGACATGTTCATAAAAACCTGAGAAGGAAAAAGGATGGAATTTTTCGGCTATATGCAAATTATCAGAGACATAGATGTCTCTGAAATTATGAGTGAATTTACTTTGAATTTCCTTATCACACTATTTCAATCCAATTTCTAATGTTTTGTTGCGGGGTTAAAAGCCACACTAACACTAATTCATTTGGTGACTTTCCAACTTTACTTGTGGATGAAGACCCAAGCTGCCTCTCTATGACACTCAAGACTTGGAAGCAATCGTTAAGAGGGATGACAGTATGAACCATTTTGTGGCAACAATTGGTTCTACCTATGCCACCAGTAGAGAACAAGCTCAACCTGAATGGCTGTACCCTATGATGTTGGTCTGTACTGTTCTCTATTCAGTTCATATTTTATAATTTCAAATTAAAAGATCAACAGGTCCATTTAAAGTTTTTTACTTGGCAAGGATTAGGGTTGTCAAGGTAGCTCACTTTATAGTTTTGCTGCATGGATTTCCGAGGTTCTGGTGCAAGTATTTGGCTGCATGTTTTTCTCATCCCATGGCATATAACTCATGGTTCATTATTCCAAATCATACGCATCTTCACAAAAAGGGTCATACATAAAAAGGAAACAATTTGTCAGCATTTTTTTTTAGCAAGTTTATTAAGTAATTTATATAAAAAAAAGCTCTAAAAGAATAGTTTATACATTAACATATCACATAGCATTTTTAACTGTCAGTAACATAGTTGTACCAAAAATATGAAATATTTAAATTGAATATTGAACTAAATATCAAATGTTTAAATTAAAATGTGAACTTAACGCTAGAACTTGTTGTTCAATCCATTTGCCCATTGTTAAAATTGTTGTTATGTGAAAATAATGTTCCAAAAATTGTATTCAAAGAGCAATAAAATATTATTAAGCTAAACTAACTTTATGCTAAAAATATTTATGTACATTGTGTATATTGCATATGGAACTTAACATTAAATATTGGTATACACATATATTGAACCTGAAATTAAATGTTAACATTTAAACTTAATATTGAACTAAACATTGAAAATCTATATTGAATATAGGGCTTAATACCTAAAACATACATATACCAGTATATTAAATTTGATAATATTATAAAATTAAATAACTTATAATAAGGAATATGGAAAAAATATGTTTTATTGATCATTAGAACAGTATTCAATATAGATATTATTTATTCAAAATAAATACACATTGTAATTAAATTTTATTGAATAATATTGTGTTCAATACATGTACATGTATTTGTCTTAATTCAGTTGAAATATTAAGCCTTATATTCATTATAAATATTAAGTTCAATATTCATATTAAGTATTACTCAATAACATATCTATAACAAACATTGAAATTATAATATCAAATATGTTTATTTTTATTAAATATTGAACTAAAAGTAATGAAAAATAACTATGAACAGATGAAATTTATCACAGAGCTAAGAGGTTAATTCAGTTTACATACGATGAAATATTGGGTAATATTGTATTATATTTACATATATACAAAGGTCAACAAGTGATAAGATTGTATTGGTTTGATTACAACTGATATATGACATAAAATACCCGTTTACCATTTCAACAATATTGATTCAATGTGAAAATATTCATATTCATGACTGATAAAATTATAGCCAAGATTCTTATATGCTGTCGAGTCCAATACTGAGTTCTATTGGACTCATACATAGCACCTCGTCCAATACAAGTTTGACAGCTATGTTCTTGTCCAGTAGAATTCAGTTTTGTATCTTTATTTCGAATCACTAAATTTGTGACATTTTGACAAAACTTTGTTACTAATAGTACAATAAGGATTTAATATGATTTTTTTGGACTTAAAAAATTAAAATATGGTTAGATATAGTACAATAGTGATTTGATATGCAATAGAATAGTGCTATGATATGGAATTTTTGTACGAGGCTAATTTGTTAAGATTGCATCCAATAATGATTTACATTTAATTAATCAGATCACAAAGGCTGTTCAAAGTTCATTTGTTACACTTTATAAAGCTAAATATTTTTGTAACAATCTTACATCAGCTACCAGTACAGATTAAAATATTTGGCAGGAGGGTCAATTAAACAAGGCTCTGCCCATTTACCACTAAACAGTGCTTTGAGAGCCAGATATTCTAGTGTGTAACAGCAGCAAGTGTTTGATATTTTTTTGCATATTGTCATCTTAGTGCATTAACTGGTTATCTCCTATCAAATTTAGAAGGACTTGACCCGTAAAGAGGTGACAATATAAGGTTTAATTTCAGTTTGAATAGAAATAATCAAAACTGATCTTTTTGTTTAGCACAATTTCTTATTCTACATTATAGCATATGATGTTGAATCCTGATCTACATAGGATCTCTGACCCTAAGATAGAGACTGGCTGAAAACCAGGAAAGAGATTGGGTGGGACTAAAAGAAATTAGGCGAAATGGGGGCAGGACACATTTCTATTGTTAAGACCTTATCAATCTCTGTGGAGTTATTTTAAGTAATTCATCTTTCTCATGTCCTTCAGGTATAGGAATGTCAAACACTATAGGTTCATGGTCTGGTTTGTAACGTAAAGTACATGTTGATGCATTGATGTATGTTGTGTGGCCATCAGTAGTTACACCATAACCTGGAAAATATAACACAACATTTAATATATATAGTGAATGAAATGAAAATGTTAATTCATAACATGCAAAGAAAGGGACAAAGTATATCTTATTCACATGTGACACTGGTCTCACTGTCATCATAAAATTGACAAGTGTATTAAAGATTGGTCCCTTTTGATATTAATAGGTTTAACCATGAAGCTGAAATGCTAAAGGTATTTTATATACCAAGATTATAAGGGGAAAACCCACATTTGTGGAGTACAGGATAACATGCTGATCTTATACGGGGAAAACCCACATATGTGGAGTTCAGGATAACTTGCTGAGTTTATACGGGGAAAACCCACGTATGTGGCATTCAGGATAACGTCCTAAGTTTATACGAGGAAAACCCACATATGTGGGGTTCAGGATAACATGCTGATCTTATACGGGGAAAACCCACATATGTGGAGTTCAGGATAACATGCTGAGTTTATACGGTGAAAACCCACATATGTGGAGTTCATGATAACATGCTGAGTTTATACGGGGAAAACCCACATATGTGGAGTTATGGATAACATCATGAGTTAATATGGGGAAAAGTGGGGTAGGGTAGTCAGATTAACACTGAGAAAATGTACACAAATTTTTTATTTGACTTGCCTTCATGAATATGTCCAAATATATGGTATTTTGGCTTCACTCTTTTCTGTATTGTGCTCAAAAGTTCCACACAGCCTGCCCTATTTCCATCAAAACACATGTCACCATGACCTATCATGTAGACAGGTAAAGAACAAAATCAAATATTTACCAGAAAAAAAAAAATTAGTTAAATTCAAACAATAGCAATGAATTGGCTGCTTTTGGCTTTGTTATATTTTTTAGTTAAATTCAAACAATAGCAATGAATTGGCTGCTTTTGGCTTTGATACATATACATTTTAAATGACAGTGGGTATCACCAATCGTTTCTTGCGTCATCTCCTGCAGTTCATGCATTAATTCTCGTATGAAACAGCTTGCAAAATATTAAGTCCTGTCTGGAAAAGCTTACAAAGTATCAAACCACATATGAAACAGCTTACAAAGTAACAAGTTTTGTCTGAAACTGCTAGCAAAGTATCAAGTCATGTTTGAAACAGCTTACAAAGTATTAAGTCATGTCTAAAAGAGCTTACAAAATATTATATCTTAAACAGATATCATACTTGCATTGAATTTTCAAACTGAAAAGATCAGGTCTAAAACATTGTTTTACATTTTCTTTACAATTCTGTAAGTCTATTTCAATTAAAACTGAAAAATTGAATTGCACTTTTTATTTTCAGGTTCTGCCATCAATATGGTAAATTTCTTACAATATATGTTTGCGATATTTGAATAATCAATGAAAACAATAATTTCAGTCTTTTCTCTCTCTAAAGTTTGTTTGTTTTGTTATATTTGGTTTTAGGGCGCACAAACACAACTGTAAAGTTTGTTTTCCGTATAGAAGTTGTTTGTTGCTACCTATAGGTGGCCCATGGGTCACAAGTATATCTGTGTTCTCTGGTATAAGATTCCATTTCTTTAAACACTCCATCCCTCTGTCAAGGTTGAATCCCCAGTCACAGAATCTTGGTTGCCTACACAATAGATCCATAGCAAATACATGAATAGTGAAATTAGTCAATGCTATCTTTTCTTTTGTTTGGATTTTCACTCACACTGACACAGTAGAGGCCATATGGTGACCTTCCAGCTTGACTAATGGAGGAAGATCTCAGGTGCCCCTTTGTGCATTAATCTTATTACTATAAAATCAATATTATTTGTGGGGCACTAATTTTTGTGTTTTTTTTGTGGTTAAGTCAATGTGCAAATTAAACATCCATTGTCTGCTGTACCATTATTTTTATTACATTTCTTGCATTTTAATGATTTTCACAACAAAAAGAAATCCCTGAATTTGAGAACCAAGAACCTACAAATGTCCTTTTTGACAAAACCACTAAATTTCATGCCCACAAACTTAAGAGAATTTAACAGTACTCTTTCAAAAGTTCAGCTTTACACAGCTGAAACTTTTTAAACTAGAACTATCGCTGAATGCAATTCATACCCCCACCAATGTCCTTGACAGAAGACGACTTGGAAAGGTGGTTAAGGGAATAACTTTAGTGGCACAAATACATATACATAAAAAGAAATTATCTCTGGTGAAAAAAAGACAAATTGTAAAGGTAATAGTATAAATATATAAATGTATTGTCAAATCTTGTTCGAAACAGTTAAGAAAGTTAAGAAAATAGCATAATTATGTAAAAATGTAATTAAGAGTGGAAAAACTTTGCATCCTGAGCTTACTTGTGACCCTTCATATATTATATAGTTTCAAGTAAATATCTGTTCTAGTTTCAGAAACATTTTAGTATCAATGGTTATATCATAACATTTTCTAAACCTAAAAGGGGCATTACTTGTGTCATAATTCAATGGAATTGTAGAATTTTCGTCATCTGAGCTTGCTTGTAACCATTCATAAAAATTTTAAGTTTCAAGTAAATATCTGTTCTGGTTTAAGAAATAATAGTAAATAAATTGAAAGACATAAAAATGGACTTAACTTTGTCAAAATACAATACAAAGTTATCCTCCCCCCACACTTTTTCTAGTTATGAAACTTGACCTGCATATCTTACTTGCGACACTTAATATATGAGAAGTTTCAAATGATTATCTGTTCTAGTTTTAGAAATATTCAAGTACATGTTAAAATTTCAGAAGTCAAATTTTGACATTCAAGTGTGGCCTTGAGTTAAGCTGGCACAAGGGTAAGATGGATTCTGCACATTGCCTAGTTGGGGTGAACATTTGAGACAAGTTTGAAGAAAATTCTTCCATTAGTATAGAATTTATAGAGCGGACACAACATATTGTCTAGTATTGATTGTATGTAAATTTAAAGACTTAAAAGGGGGCTTAACTTTGTCAAAATGCAATACAATGTTATGAAACTTGACCTGCATATCTTTCTTGTGACACCTCATATATCTTTTAAGTTTCAAGCAAATACCTAAGTTAGTTTCAGAAATATTCAAGTACATGTTAAAATTTAAAAATATTTTAAGTCAAGAAACTTGACCTGCATAGCTTAATTGTGACACTTTATATATATTTTTTAAGTTTCAAGCAGATACCTTTTCTAGTTTCAGAACTATTCAAATACATTCTACATTTTCTAAGTAAATTTTTGACCTTTAAGTGTGACCTTGACCTTGAGCCGGCAAAAGGGTAACACAGGTTCTGCACATTCCCTTGTTGAGGTGAACATTTGAGCCAAGTTTCAAGAAAATCCTTCAATTGGTGTAGGACTTACAGAGCAGACACGACATACTGTCTAATATTTGATTGTTTGATATTTGACCTTCAATTGTGACCTTGACCTTGAGCTGACACATGGGCAACATGGGTTCTGCACATCCCCAAGTTTGAAGAAAATCCTTCCATTGGTATAGGATTTATAGAGTGGACACGATAATGAAGATGGACCGACTGACTGTTGCGACAAAGCAAATCTATTATAGACCCCCCCCCCCCCCCCCTACATTTTGTGGTGGGGGTATAATAAAGACTAGCATTAGAAATAAATATAAACCTACCATGGCGAACCATATATATGAACACCACACACATCTATCCCTGCATCTTCAAGATATACACAATTTGTCATCAGTTCTTTCACATTCTGTACACCATATTTTACCAACAACTGCTCAAAACCTGCATCATAAAATTCATATAATTGCAGCAAGTTTGTTACGTCAATTTTCATTGGATACTCAGGATTTTTTACATAATCTTAAAAATAATGCACCTTTGTAACATTGCTTTTCATTGGATAATTGAGAGGTTGATATAGTGTTATAATTATACACAACTGCTCTCAATTCATGAAGAAATCTCACTTTTTTTTCTCAAAAAAGAAAATTTGCTGTATTACAAATTTGTTATAAATATTCCTGACATGTTATATGACCATATATAAACAGTTGTTTGCAATATAATCCCTGCCTGGTGACATGGGTTATATTTCCAAACAACCGTTTTATATAGGACCATAAACCTGTCAAATAATCTTTACTAACTTAATAATATACTATACACAGCTGCTGTAATTTATGATTGAAGTAATCTTCACTTCATATGAAATATTATGCTTTGCTACAAAATTATTAAAAATATTTATTTGACAGGTTTATCTGGTCATGTATAAATCATCACCTTAGTGCAATAATGGGGTAAACTCCTTAATAATTCAATGGGTGTTATCCCGTTATTGCACTTAGCTTAAGTTAGGTGACAAAATGTCTGTTTGCAATGTAAACCCTTTGCTTGTGGATCTGATTATATAAGGTCACAACCATTTACTTTTGGACATATAACCTGTCAAAAAAAATCTGTATAAATAATGTGATTCTAAAACAGCAAAATATTAATCAGTATTTCTTCTAATGATCATGTTTCCCCTCTGTTATGCATATGTCATTATGACTATGCATAAGAAGAGGGGAAACAGTGCTGAAACAGGAAATATGGTATGGGCTATATTTGGTGTTAAAAAAGGTCACATTCACCAGGGTCAAAACCAGTTCACCTACTGCAGCTAAGAGTTGCATAGACTCCTGTAATTCAATCCCAGGGGTCAATGTGTTGCAATTATTATTGCCTCAAACAATAAAGCAACCCCTCAGCCACTTATGGCAAATAATTTTAAAATTCAAGTATTAAAATAAACCGTCATATTATAAATACAGATGTGAAGACACAGATCTGGTTGCAACCCACCTTTTTCAGAAACACCCAAACATTTTTTTTGAGATTTTTCCCTTCCATTCTTTACCATATCATCAATCAAAGGTTAGATCATGGTTCCCAGCTATAACTATCTTCACTGGATGCTTCATTGTACCTGCAAAATACATTGTATTGTTCTTTTCTTGTTTAAATGCCCATCTTGAATGCTTTTGGTTGTACGGTATCTTGGCATTCAACCCATCTAACCTTAAATTTTTCACCAAGGACTGCTAACTAATTCCACTTAATTTCTCAATTAGCTGATGACTGTACTCTTAAACTTTTTAAATTTTTATTTCTGAAGAATTCAACTTCAATTGTCCTTACTTGTTAGAATAAATAGTGGATAATATAACCATTGAGATACACTGTACATTATATAAACCTCATATTTATCTTAAACATAGTGCTTATCATACCTAGAAAATCATTAAAGGTTTTGACTTCATTGGCAAGTCCAACATTTGTGAAATCTCCTGCGTGTATCAGAATGTCACCATCTGGGACAATTTCAGGGTGTATCTCTATCTTTGAATGTGTGTCTGATATACAAACCACCCTCAATTTATCTTCAGTGATGGGTGTGTCAGGCTTTAATGGCACTACCTGAAAAAATGTCAAGCTGAAAGTATAGTGAATTATATAAATTACAGTATACCCACCAATCCCCATTCAAACCTTAAGTAAGAAAGTATTTCATTAATTTTTTAGTTTTATGGCAGGAGTTTGAAATTCTACCAACCAGTAAGTTGATTAAGCCCTAGTAATTCTTTGTCAACAGTTTGGCCAATTTCACAGACATTCTATTCCTATACATGGATTGACAGTTTCCGAACTAGCAGATGACAGACTATTCTTATCAGTAGAATTGTAAGTAAAGATAACCAGTTGCGTATCTCATTGTATAAATCAGTGGCGGATTCAGGCCCGGGCTTCAGGGCTGCAGCCCCCCCAGCTTGGCCCAAAGATTAAAGTCTACCAGCTGGGCTGGAAAATATTTTTGTCAGTTTCAAACTTTATTGGCTGTAGTGTACTCCCTTATCAAAACATTAATTGCTGTCATCCAGTTGTTAATCTCCTGCCTTGGGGGCTTGGCAGAGATCTTTATCTATCAACATGCTTGAATAACTTCAATGTTTAAACTGCATAATTGATTGGTTTAATTACTTTCCAAAGGTCTGATGAAATTTTGATAGTTACAGATAGTGCAAATAGATGTGTTACATTGTACACCATATTTTACTATCTTTGTTTTTAATTTTTTTCTTTGCGAAAAAGCCCTAACTGATTAAGAAATTGAAAATTATTATTTGTAAATTAAAAAAGGTGACCATTTTTATAAAGATTTATTATTAAATATTATTATTATTATTAATTATTATTATTATTATATTATTATTATTAATTATTTTACTAAATGAGTCGCATTTTTAAATAATAACTAGTTTTTTCTAAGATTTTTATTCTGATGAACTGATTTGTCATTTGCTTTTAATAACTTATTTTATTGCAGTTATATTTTTTTAATAAAATTAAATTGTAATGACCTCTTAGTATCTGTTGGAAAAAAATCTTATTGAAATATATATGTGTTTTGAAATTATTTTTTGTATATTAATTGAAAGGCAAGTAACTTTAATATCACTTTACTTTGGAAAATCGCTATTATTCAGATGAGTACATTGATCAAGTGTTCAAAAAATTATTTTAATCAAAAAGTCGCGCAAATATTGATTAGTTGCTTTATTTTGTAAATGCTTAATACTAAACACCAGGGAATTCTATTTGAAATTACCCTGCAAACACTTACCTGTAAAACCATCCAAAATTATCATAAACAGTACTAAAAAATCAAGGAAATAACACTATTTTCAACCCATATTTCAAAAATTTTCTCAGTCTATGGGGGGGGACACCCCTCCCAGGCCACCCCCCCCCCAATTACATATATATTTTTTAATTTCATATCATCTAAATATTTACGGAAATATTAGTTAAAAACACATATTGAAGCGCGAAAGTACATTGCCACTCATAAGATGATAAAACACATTAATTTTACAATGTTTGTCACTTGAACAAGATATTAGCCCTATCTGAAAAAACATGCCACACATTACATGTCTGCATTATTTTTGTCAAAATCTTCCACCCATATGTCAGCCCCCCCAGGAACCCATGTTCTGTATCCGCCCCTGTAAATCATATGTAAAGTGGTCTGACTTGTGGTAGGTTTAACCGTAAATTCAAATACCTTTAGTGTCAAACGATGTGTTGAAATATACACTGAGAAAAAGCTAAGTTCAAAACCTTTTCATTGACTTAATAAATTTAAAATCCGACATTATATCGCCCCAAACTAGCGGCTTAAAACGGCTAAATTTGCATTGTTTTACAACAAGAGATATCAATTTTACTAAAAGATAAAGGAAAGAACTTGTATTTTTTCACTTGATATACCTCAGTTATTTTGGTTGTTCAAATAGAGACTGTCAATGGGTGTATTGTCAAACCAGATATAAATTTTGTCACCGTGCTGGAACCATGTGCAAAAAAGCTTAAGCCAGACGAGCTTTTTAACCAAAGATATTATAAAAATTTATTTGCCAATAAATTATCACTTTTTACTTTTATCTCTTTTTAGAAATCTTTTTCCATATTTTCCTATGAGGAAAATCTGGGAAAATTTAAACAAAATCAAAAATTTTTCCCCTTGTTCACAGATTTTTTTCAGCGCATTTGCCAAGCCTTTTTTGGGTTTGTAGTGTTTTTGTGAACAGAAATACTTCCATCGGTTGCCATCCCTGAAAAATCTTTCAAAAACAAGTTGAAGGGATTAAAGAAACGTTTAAACATCTAAAATTTTATTAGACATCAGACTGATCATTTGTAAAAATAGAAACTGTTTGCTTTCCCACAAATGGGGAACTGAAATAAAGGGAAGTAACTACTATCTGGTTAACTTGGTTAACCACGTTAACCACCACTAAAACTTTTACCCTCTCCACGTTCCTGATTCTGTCCAATCTCCTACGCAGTAATCTCCCCTTATCAGTATTGGACTCGAAATCGGAACATGCATATTCATGAGCTGATGACTTTTCAGGATCCCTTCTTCCCAATTTCTGCCAAGGGAGGTAATCACTGTGAGGAGTTTGGATTCTATCATGTAATATTTTACATCAGTCACACAGACGCTTGTGGCCAACGTGATAAGCCCCTGTAAAACACTCTATCAAAACTATTACGAATGTGACATCTATTACAACGATAAAAATGGTTTTCAAACAATTTTTACATATATGAAAAAAATACCGTATACCATCAAGTCTCAATAAATTAACTTGATGGTATACGGTATTTTTTTCATATATGTAAAAATTGTTTGAAAACCATTTTTATCTTTGTAATAGATGTCCCATTCGTGTTTAAATATTAAAATAGTTTTGATAGAGTGTTTACAGGGGCTTATCGCGTTGGGGGCAGGATCGACCCACAAGCGTCTGTGATCATTCATGTTAGCAAAATATGACCATACCAAATCTTTTCAGAGACTGTTTTTTCTATATATAATATAAAGTTCAATGAGCTTTCAAATCTATTAAAAATGAATAAATAAAAAAATCGGTAACTGTTGGTGCTCCTATTAAAAAAATCTGCATGCATTACCAGATCAGCAAATTAATAATGGTCAGACTACTGTATTATTTTCCCCATAAACTTACACAATAAGATATCATCCATAAACCTACCTTAAAATTCATGCTAAAGATGTGATTTTGACAGGAGTATGACATGCCTGACACATAAAAATGATCTTGTTCTACAGGGTTGACCGACTAAATCCTTCGCAAAATTTCCAAAAAGATGATAACCCCGCTTCTCACTGAAATTTCCTGCTGATATAGGCTAATTATATATATATTTTTAAATGCAACATTCCAAGTGAAAAATGGAAACTTATGAAACAGGTCATTT